ATTTTGTTTAAGTGGTACGAAATTTCGTAATCCGATAATCTATTATTATTCTTGATTTCTTAAATTGTGATTTTTTCGTGACGGTCATAGAAAAAGTCTAGTATACAACATATTTGGTAATAGTATATTATTTTTATTTTAGTTTTGGTTAGTTAATAAACCAGTGACTTAAAAATTTTACCGAACGTGTTGCATACTATACTTTTTCTACGACGACCGTTAGTTTTTGGCTACATTTTCTCAAAGCAACTCGCATACATTCACTGCTATAGCCATCAGAATTGACAAATGTCAAATTCAAGACGTGGGAAATATCTCCGAAAACATCCGGAAATGTCCGAAGTGGCTCGGACACTGACGTGGGATAGTGACGCTTCTCGCACGCTAGATCGTTGTGTACTTAGGTATTTTACAGACGGGAGTAGAAAAGCTCTTTATCTCGCTTCGCTCGTGCCAAATAAACTCGGGAGTCAAATACCGTTCACTGCACTTGTTGCATAATATACTATTATTCTGCTTCCTTCCCAACCGGCAAAATGAAATTCCGGCGTTGTTTTAAGGACTGCTTGTTTTTGTTACGCCTTTTAATGCGACTGTTTTGTTTTTTTAACAAAAATTGCCCTACTAAATGATTAAAAATCAAAAATCAAATTTTATCAGACCTGTGTACCTATTTTATGACGGTTATACAACATACAACTAGCAGTGACAGCATTATAAAAGAGTTACCCAAGCAGTTTAATAATAATTGTTTTATAGCATTCCATTCCGCTGCATTATAAACCACTTAACTTTGAATACTATAATGTATTTTGGAGTTATAAGCAAAAAATATTGCAATTAAAGCGAATTAAGTCACAGCGTTCTCTGGCCGGCCATGGTGACGTTTTTTGTATGTCTTTGACATAAATAAAATTAATATTCCGTTATTTGCGTGTTCAAATACCCACAATATTTTGATATTCATAGAGATTGTTATACACAAAACTAATGTTAAAGACTAATAAACGGTTTTAAATCGTTTTTAACTACTTATAAGTAACATAACACACTTTCTTTAAAAACGCCTCAAACATAGACATCAACCGGTGTAATATCTGGCGAAGGTGGTGGCCAATTCCATGGACCTAGACGTCTTATCCATCAGTTTTCAAACATGATTGAAAGTTTTTGGCTTACTCTGTTTGTGCAACGAGCCGGAGCTCCATCAAGTTGGTACCAACATCTTGGATGCAACGCTAATGGCAAATTGTCTAAAAAATCTGTAACTACCGTTCGTATAATATCCAGATATTTTTCCTCGTTTAAAAATCTATTTTATTATCCATCATCAAACAGAACACGTTGAAACCAAAATCTATGTTGAAATCGCTTTTCACGTACAAATTTTCGATTTTCTGATGGCCAAGAATGATTGTTCCGTCTGTTTAAAATATCTGAAACGTAGGTTTCATTTGCTTCTGAGTTTAAGTGTCAAAAATTTGCTTCGATTTTTTAAAACTTTTTTCCATACATTACATGGTACGGCCTATAACACTGTTTGGACTAATTAGCCATATTTTTTACTAATTTTCATTTGAAATATGCTGTATATAATCGAAAAAATGCGTGAAGCAAAAGTTATAGTACCAGATCTTCCGCTTCCCTTGATTAAAGAATTCTGCCGATCGGGTTAATAGTTTTCGAGAAATATTTTTTTTTCTAAAAGCCAAAATAGCACAAAAAAATTAGAATTAAGAAAAATAATACTAGACCTAGAATTTACTTCTCCGCTAAATTTGAAGCCGACAGCTGCGAATGTGACACACTTATTACTTTTTTGAATGTAGCACAAAATATCTCGCACACCCTATACAATATGTGAAACCCTTAAATACAAAAGCGTTAGCTGTTCATACATGTCATGTGACCATGTGAAAGAAACTTACAACTGATTATAATTAATTATCATTATACACCAGTGCATTTTTTAAACGTCGTCAAGGATTAAGATATTTCATACCGTTTTTGGGAAATGACTTTTTTTTTGTGTTTCATCTCTCTACTACTTAATTTTACTAAACCAAAAACTTGTTCATAAAATAGTCTTCCGAAGAAATAAAATAAAATAATCCGAAGACAAAAAGTTTTCAATTAAGCTCTAAAGATTCGATCATTAACGAAAAGCAACGAAGTCACCCGTAGGGTAAAAGGGAGCTATTAACGGAGGTCGCGCAACATCGTATGGTACATTCCCGGATCTTTATCCCTAAAAGCCCGAACTTTTGTTCGGGATCTGCGCCCCATTTGTCTAATGGACCATAATAACTCGAAAAGGACATGCCCGAGATGTCTAGGAGTTTAATATTCCACGCGTCTAGTTGCAATCCGTCTATGCCAACATTCGCCGACTATAGTTTACGATTTATGAATTCGCCTTAGTGGCATTTATTAGAGAGGGTCCCTAAATAAAAAAGCAACATTTAACGTCTATAAAAACTATATATAGGCTTTATTCAGAAAATTGTGCAATAAAAAATTGTGGTATATTAAAATTTGAAGAAACTATTGTTGACAAAAAAAAGTTTGGCCAATCTAGCAAAAGTTGTTTTTTATTGAATTATTTACCTTGGGTGATACTTGGAAATATTTATTTTTATAGAATGCCGAAAATGGTTTTTCTACTCCCGTCTACAAAATACCTAATTACCCACCTTTCTAGCGTGCGGGAAGCGTCACTTTACCATGTCAGTTTCGTTTCCCATGAATCCGAGCCACTTCGGATATTTCCGGGCTTCTACCGCACGGATTTGGGCACGGATGTTTTCGGAGATATTTCCCACGCTTTGAATTTTGACGTTTGTCACTTCTGACGGTTATGTTGTTCGTCTAGTTTTGAGAAAATATAGGCAAAAATAACGGTCGTAGAAAAAGTATAGTATGCAATACGTTCGTTAAACTTTTTAAGTCACTCATTTATTAAGCACTCGCTCCGCTCGTGTCAAATAAACTCGTGAGTCAAATGCCGTTTACCGCACTTATTGCATAATATACTATTAACAACTACAAACTTAGCATAAACTTCACAAAAACTATTTCTATGCCTTTTACTTGCTCTAGCAATAAATTACCATTACATGATAAAATTTCTAGGTAACTCGAGTAGCTTTGACATCATATTTAAATATCTTGGAGTAACTGTTAATAAGCATTTGAGATAATAATAATAATATTAATAGCAATAAACATAAACAAAACAATATTTATCACATAATGCAAAAAGCAGCTGGGAGGCAACTAAATTGTGCAAGTCCGAGCCCCTAAATCTTACCTAACTTACAAACTAAAAAGCATAATATCGCAGAGGAGATTTTTTTTCTCAATGAATTAAAAATTTAAATTATTAAATGTTGTAATTTTGGGAAAAGAACTGACGGGAGATATAATGCTCATTTTCTTTAAATACTAATCATCAGGTACTAGCAGTACTTTCTTTACTTGCCTTTTAAATCTTTCTGTGTTATGCAAAATCGAAAAGTATTTTCTGATGATAGATCGCAAATAAACTTAGATTTTCTAGAATTTTAGCATGGGTTGACAAACAAATCTTTAGAAGGAATTTTCAATATTATTTAGAAAAGAGATAGGTGTTATCGAACAACACAAATTCTTAAAAAATAACAACTATGAAACTATTTCAGTTAAACTCTCTAATAGTAGTACAGAGATGTTTTCTTTATCCCTCTGCAACAATTTCACCAAAAATAATAGGATTGCTTAATAATTGAACACATTCCTTATTTAAAATCTGATTAAAAGTGAAATTACTAGAGATGAAATTCATTTCATTTGATTTTATCCATTATTTGTTTATGATTCTTTTCTAGTTTTTATATCTATATTTACTCTGAATGCGGGTTGAATATAGTAATTTAATCTAAGAGTTATTATTTATTTATTAGGGCCAAATTAATTATTAATGTTTTTTTCCCTTTTCAGTTTTTTTTAGTTCTACCAAAGTTTTTAAAAACTGTCTTCAAGGCTAGAACTTGGTAGGGTCTTACGTTGGCCAAAACAGTTTATAGCTAATAGTATCCTGGGGTATCCTTTTTAATATAAAATTTTAATTACCACTTTAGATATTTTAATGAAATTTATAATAAACACTTAAAATAACTATGCCCCAATATTTTAAACACCAAATTAATAAGACGCGAAGAACTGAATTTGAAAAACCGATGTCAAACAACTGTCAAACGATCACCATGACCACATAATTAACAATTCTGACAGACACAGTCTACTACAATGATAAGAAATAATTATACAGATTTCAAAAAGACACCTCAAAGTTTACGTACTTCGTTTCTTACTTCGATTTTTGTAAGTATTTGAATAAAACAGATAGACAGTTACTCAAATAAGAAGTAAAGAAAATTGTAGTGTGGTATTGTAGTGTTATATTTTATTTTTGATAACTTGAGCACCCTGTATCTCAAAAGTTTAGACGTTCAGGACATACATTCACATAAAGTTTTCTTTTTAAAATGGACCAAAAATGGCCCCCTCAATTATTGAGATTCAATGATAAAAAATTAATTATATAAAATAAAAAATAAGTGCTATAGAAATAAATAAATAAATAAAGCTGTAAATAAACTTTACGAATCAAAACAGAGCACATCACAATAAAAATACCATGATTAGTAAAAACTAGAACTCCGTGATACAGCAAAAGACGATAGATAGTATTCTGCTTTTCACCATTAGGTTCCCCTTACTTATTTTACTTACACCACTCAACAGAAAATCCATCGATTGATTGCCGTCGGTCCTGAACTGGGTAACAGATATTTCATTCTCTACATAATGACTATTCTAGTTGTCGAGAGAGAAAAATTCATAGAACTCGTGTGAACTTGTTCATTAAGCCAAACACATTTTAGAAATTTAAGTTACCTTTTCAAACGCTTCTTACTGCAGAAAGATTTGCGTCTACCTTAAAGTAAATAATTTTTCAGATTCCTGACGTTTTGCTATTTGGCGGCTTTCAACTGGTGGCTGCTGCTATGCCCAGCCACTCTCTCCCACGACTGGCAAATGGGATCCGTACCATTGGTGACGTCCATCAGCGATACCAGAAATCTAGCGACGTGCTTCTTTTTCGGTTTGCTCATGCTGCTCGTCGTAAAGAGCGTATGCGATTTTGAGGTGAGTACCGTTTAGCACTTAAATATCTACATATATATATATATATATATATATATATATATATATATATATATATATATATATATATATATATATATATATATATATATATATATATATATATATATATATATATATATATATACATAAACAAAGTCAACGGACAGTAACGGGGCACTGCTAACAAGGCAAGTCAAACACGTAACACTGGGATACCCCTTTTTCTTAAAAGGTTAGAGTTAAGCAATAAAAGATCTTAAGTGCTCTTTTTCACAACTAGCCTTTATTCTTATGCTTCAAGCTTTCGCCCAGGATAAGGATCAAGTGTGATAAAGATACGGTGTTGTCGAAACAATTGGCATGTCATAATATATAATTTCGTGAAAATCTGAACTTTTAGTTCTTATTTATTTTTACAAATGGATTTTGATCAAGTAAAAGCCACCTCAGTTCAATATTTGAGTCACTTTATTAATATTCTAGGTTAGGATAAAGATATTGAGATATCTTTGAATTAGATAAGTTACCTCTAGGACAACAAAACGCACTTAAGGGTTTGTATATCACTAGTCCAACATTCAACGAGAAATGAGAAAAACGCCACCGTACATATAATATATTTTTAATTGGACTGCTATAAAACTTGGTTCGGCATTAAACCACCCCCGTAATTGCTCGTTTAAATTTTAATTTCGCTCGTGTCGTTAAAACTTTTAAAATAGCAAACGTTCCGGTTTTATATAATTATAAATTAGGAATTTTATTCGGGTCACGAAGACACCCTAAAGACCAATTTCGTGTATCCTCACTTTTGTGTTTCCGCAAGAAAAAAACCGTTCAGCTTTTATGATTTTTAAGAATTTTTAAGAATATAATTTAATTTCTGGAGTTATGGGTTATCGAAAAACTTCCCGTCTAGTAACAATACAGCACACGGCAAGTCAACGATATAGTAAAGTTCATCATCTCATTTACAGGGTGGCTCAAAAAAGCGTGACGAATAAAACATATATATTTTTTAAATGGACAGACCTATTTTTAAATTTTATTTTGAATCCGTTTCGAAATTAGTTTTATTTATAATAATACATACCAAAACCTAATAGTTTTTTGAAATATTTTATGTTTTCTAAAAAAAACTAATTTTCATACTTGCAAAAAAAATACGGTCACATATTTGCACAAAATTTTAATTACATTCTACAGGGTGTTCAAAATAAATAAAAATAATAAAATAAATAATAATAATAATAATAATAATAATAATAATAATATACTTTATTCAGATAATTTCGACAAAGAAAAATTACAAGAAAACACATAGTTATCTGTACATATAACATCGCACCATGGTTTTAATTAATATTTACAATTTCGTTAAGTACCCACCCAATTATATAACAGAAAGAAAAACCTAAACCTACCTCTGCAATTGAAAAAACTATTAGCTAAGGTCGATGCTACAGTACTGTGAGTACCACAAGTTTTTAAAGCAATGCACAGTCCTTGATTCTTCTTGCGATCTGTAACTTCTCGATGTTTTTTTTTTCATTTTTTTTTCGCTTTAAATTCTGATAGGTCTTCCGCGACGGATGCCGTAACTAAACCTCAGGCAACATTTTTGAATCTTTTCAATACGTTGTGCTGCTGTCAAACAAGGCCCATATACGACATAACAGTGATTAAACACGGAGAGACCAAGAGCATCGCATAAGGTTTTTTTAAGATTTTGAGTTGCCTTGCTATATAACCCTTTTAAACGGCCAATAGCCCTTTGTAAGTTTTGTATCTAAAAGTAATTCCAAATTTTTTGCCTCGTTTTGAAGTGGAAGACTAATATTGTTTATTTTTATGATTACTTCAGATACAAGACGCTTAACATCCTCCGGCCGACCAAAAAATATTACAGAAGATTTTTGTGGGTTTAAACGCAAACCGTGATCTCTGGAAATTCTGTCAATTCATTCAACGTCACTGCTGATATTTTGGCACTGAAGCAGCAACCGAGAGGGGTTAAAAACATGGTAGAGCTGCTTGTTATCAGCATGTGATTGCCCTTTAATAATAGTAATAATAATAATAATATCTTTATTATTCCACATATTTAGACTATAATCAGTGTATTATGGATTTCGTCGAGTAGGTCAATATAGATTATGCAAATGAGATAGAAAATTACATTAAAAATTTATATAACAAAAATATATGACAAAGCACAACAATACAGTGATGACAAACATTAATAGGTAAAATATTCGTTTAAATTATAAAAACAATTTTCTAGGAGGAACAGTCTGGGGACAGTCTATTCTAGACTCTAATACCGGTGTTCGTAACATATTTTCTTTAAAATTTTAGTCTATTTTTTTTATTGAGAAACAGTCTTTGTTATGTGTATTATGATCGTTTGAAATCTCCGTTTTTTGTAACGTATTTTTATTTTTATATACCCATAAACAAATTTCTAATAGGTACATACACGCTACAGTACAGTACAGTACAGTACATTTATTTTTTGGGCATTCAAAAAGAGTTCATTTTTGTTAAACTAAATTAATTCTGGTTTGAAGAGTTTGATAACAGTCCGAGGAGACTAAACTTGAACAGTCGTCAGCGAACTCCGATTGAGCCAAACTAGGTAGGTGAGGCGGTACGCCTCTATCTACAGATTAGACTTGAGACTTTTTAATTTTGCCCCTCTCATGCTTTATTTCAACATACTGACTAAGATTTCTTAAGAACGATCTGAACCAGTCCACGAATTCCGAATTGTTCCATCCTATTCAAAAGAATTTCGCGGTTCATACAGTCAAACGCCCTGCTAAGATCACAAAATCTCCCAGCAGGGTGCTCTCCAGACTCAATATAGTTGATAGCATGCTCCAAAAATGAATGGATAGCTGTTTGGATTGATCTACCTGTAATCGGTCAAGCGGCAAAGCATGATGTGATTGCTATTGGACGATAATTTTCTGCAGAATGCCTGTAGCCTTTTTTAAAGACAGGAGTCACACGCGAAACTTTCACGGTCGTAGAAAAAACTCCCTATGTTAATGATGCACTTATCAGAGACTCTTGGTTCGCTTTAGATATTTTTTTGTTATGTTTCTTACTAAATCAACCTGTCATGGCTAACTGGGACTACTTTTGGATGTCAAATATAGAGAAAGGATATTAGGGATTTATTTAAGAATAAAGTGTCTACTAATTCTTATTCAGGACTACATAAAACCTGACTAAACTAATTTCCATAAAGCCTCGATTTTTTGTTGGCTACATTTCAGAGAAAGACACTAATTTTATTCAAATTAAATATGATTGGCGATGATTAGATATGAACTAAAAGGACTATAAAACGCTGTATTTTTTTTAATTAAAAATGATTTTTAATTCTCATCTAATAATGAAAATAACAGAAATATTAAAATTGATTAACGTCGGAACACTGTTTCCTTTGTAGAACCAAGTTTGCCATGGAGAAGCGTTTATTCGACAGTAAAATTCACTCGCTAATTTATAATTTAATTTTGTTTACATCTTTCTAATACTAATATTTATTAATGCTGTTGTTTTCAGATAATATTAAAAAATAAAAAGTCGTATTTATCATTATTATTGAAATTTGTATAATTAAAATTTTTAAGATCTTAAAATGACATACAAAAAAACTGTTATTTACAAGGTTTATAATATTTATCTTTATAAAACATTAATAGCTTTGGTCATTGGTCTAGATATTTTTAGGTAGTCCTGAACACGAATGTGTTGTCAGTTTTAATTAGAAAAAATCTCTAAAAGTTGCCAGGACACCCATTTAATTTCTCTTTAGTAAGATCTATTCAGTAAAAAAAAAATTAGTCCCAGTTATGAATCACTTCAGATAAGAAACAGAGAAAGATCTATCCAACAAAAAAAAAATTAAAATCAAACCTGTAGTCAAAGATTTTACAACGATATACAGCCTTCACCTGGGCGCAAACAATATTTCAATAAATCAAACTGTAATGATAAAATACAATATTATCAAGACAATTGTTTTAATAATCTTTTGAATTAACAAATCTTGCTGATGTTCATAAATATATTCATGAAATTAAACCAAATGCTACTGGGGTTGACGAAATCTCTCCACTTATGGTTAAATATTGCAGTCCTTTCATTGATAAGTATGTCACATTATTAATTCTTCCATAGAAGTAAACTATTTTCCAAAAAGCTGGAAAATGTCACTTGGAAAACCATTAGCTAAAAATAATGCCCCGACAAGTTTCAAAGAGTGATTAACACCTCTGACATTTTAAAATCTTTACATTTTTGCTAAGTTCATTCATATGCCGACGATACTCAATTGTATTGCTGTTTTGATTTTAATAGTAGCACGGATGCATAGGTATTTATAAATCAGGATCTTAAGAAGATTAGTGAACTTTCTCGTGCCCATAATTTAAAGCTAAACCCATCAAAATCGCATTTTGGAAATAAAAATAAAGTTAAACTACTTAAAGAAGATATTAATATAATATTAGATAATATGAAACTTTCCGTGGTCGATTCAGCAAAAAAATTGAGGTGATCATAGATTGTGATCTAAGATTTCGTGAATATTTAAAAAATATCTTTTAAAAGGCATATTTCTCACCAAAAATGTTATATAGTGACAGGCATATTTTAAATTTTACACTAAGGAAACAATTATGTGAATCACTTGTTCTCTCACTACTATGAGGAAGTGTATGGTTTTTTATGGATAACGAGTGTAAGTGCCGTATTCAAAGGTTGCAGAATGCTTGTGTTCGTTTTATTATGGGTCTTCGAAAATATGACCATGTATCTGCTGGATATCGTCCATTATCCTATTACCCATAATTTCGATTCACCCACTTTGCTGAGAGAGCGGCTTACTCCTAGGGGTATTATTCATTCTGTAAATGAAAGATACAATTACTGACTGACGATGCCACAGAGTGCTTTGTTTTGTAGATCTATCACATTTAACGTAA